CTTCTCAAGCCCACACAATGAACAACATCCTAGAATGTGATCTACACCCTGGGATGTTGAACTGCAGAGTTACTTTACTTAGGCTCTAGACTTCTCAAGTTGACACAATGTTTCATGCATTACAATAAGTATATTCTCAACTTTGTACAGAAACACAAGGGAATTAGGATTGCTAAAACAACTTCCAAACACAAAGAGTTGGAGGAATGTTTTACCCGATTTCAAAACTTATTACATAGTTACCTTAATCGAGCCTATGTAATGTTTGTCAAAGTGCAGACTCACAGATGAATGAAATAGCGTACAGGGCCCAGAAGTAGAATCACAAAAATGTTCCCAAATGATTTTTCACAAAAGGACAAAACTGACAGCAACCTTTGAAGAGCAGTAGCCATGGCTCTGCGTTATCCCACAGCTACGGGCCTCAGCAAGGGCCACAGGTGAGGAAGGATGTGAGCAAACTGAGGCACAGCCACCTTTGCGGATGCCTCACGAACCACACCACGTTAATGCTGGACATGATCCTGGAAGTGTGCAGCTATGCTTTTCCATTGAGTCAGTTTTGTCCCTTTATTTGTCTTCAGAGGTTTATTCCACAGAGGGGCTCAGTCCTGGGCAGCAGCCTCCCTCATGGCAGCCAGCATGTGGCACAGCTCCTCCCGCTTCCTCTTGGCCGGATGTGCATCCCCGCACTTTCCTTGATGAACTTGAGGGTGCGTTTGTCCTTGGAGAACTTGAGCATCCTCCTAGAGGTAGTGCTAGTTGGTTTACAGTATTTTAAAACTGAAAACTAGTGAATTGTCAAACAAGCTACAATACATGCTTACTATGTCCCAAAAAAGGAGGAACAAAATTTTGATGCACGTACCAAACTTGTATGAATAGCCACTTCTCTTTTTCCTATCTGTAGGAAGGAGGAGGTTTTGTCTAGAGGACTGTCCTATTTGGTGGTTCGAGATACAAGTGAGCGGGGTGGGGCCGAAGGAGCAGACATTTAAAAGAGCTCAGGGCTTTCTTTCTTGTTAGACCTTACAGAAGTTAAAAATGATGGGAAAGAAGAGGTTTGATGAACACCAACTGTGGCGTTTCCTGGGTATCCTCCGCAGCCCATTTTGGGAGCTGAGGACCCAGGCGAGGGGAAGAGGAGAAGGGGTGAATTGCGTTGGCACGACCCAAGCCAAGAGGTCTGCTTCTTTCTAGTAAATAGCTGTAAAGAGAGTTACTGTTGCCTTTTACACAGATGTGGCAGGGTGGGTTGGAGGCATAAATGGAAAGGACTTCCTTCCCGGGAACATAAGGAAACGTCTGTTCTGATGCACAAAGATTAAGGGCTCATTGGTCAAGGGACCTGAAAAACTGGAGCAAACCACACTGCCTCCTGGACACTAGGAGCAACGCCAAGTCCAGGGTCAGAGCACATTCAGCTGATGGCATAGTATTTATCATGTGGTTATCCGACATGCCCCGTGCCTGCGACGCGTCCAAACTTGGAAATGAAGTAGCGAGCAGGACTCTGAAAAATTCTACAAGCCCAATTATGGCACAAGCTGTGGAAAGGCAGGCTCTCCCAACGTCGTTTGAATCCCGTTAAAACAGCCATTGCCAAGGGGCGCACGGGGGACATATTCAGGGGTTTCCAGCAGCCAATCATAGTGCCAGATGTGTCTGGGGGCGTGGTCCGGGGGGGGCAGTAGCCAATAGCTGACAGGGCTCTGAATAGCGTGGGCTGACGAAGTCCCTGAGGCGGCAGATCACCAGAGTTAGGTCAGGTTGCGGGTCTGTGGCCTGTCAGGTGACTGAACCGTTACCGTGAGGCGTCGCCAAACTTCGTTTGTCACCTTCCGCTAGCAGCATGGAAGACATCAAGCGCGACCATCAGCGGATTCTTCGTCGCCACCGCCGCGAAAAGAAAGAGTTGGAGGACCAAATCCAGAGCATGAAGCGCTCGGTCCCCAAGGGCGACAGAGAGCAGCGAAAGCAGCTGCGCCTCAACATCGCCCGCCTGCAGGCCGAGCTGGAGCAGAGGCACCTGCGGGAGCTCGAGAAGTTCCAGGAGAAATTCCCCAGCAGCCACGCCCTCGACTCCCTGGCGCAAAACCTGGCGAAGCTCAACCTCGAGAACCGGCACCCGCACAGCTCCAAGGCCCGGAGGAGGCGCGAGCGGCGCGAGGCTGAGGAGCGCGAGGAGCAGGAGCGGGCCCTGGCCGCCGAGCTGGAGCCCCTCGAGGACTTCCGCAAGGAGGAGGAGGCCCGGCTGGTCGCCATCTTGGCCGCCCGCGGCCTGGAGATGAAGGCGCTGCCGCTCGACAGCCAGTGCATGTTCCGCGCCGTGCAGGACCAGCTGCCCTTCGTGGCCACCGTGGACGGCCTGCGCCGCCGCGTCGCCGACTACATGCGCAGGCACGTCGACGACTTCCTGCCCTTCTTCAACACCGACGACGACGACGACGACGAGGAGGAGCCGCTGACGCGCGAGGACTTCCTGGCGCACTGCGAGCACGTGGCGCGCCTGCGGCCCTGGGGCGGCCAGCTGGAGCTGCGCGCTCTGTCGCACGTGCTGCGGCGGCCCATGGAGGTGGTGCAGGCGGCGGGGCCCGCGCTGCTGCTGGGCGAGCAGTACCGCTGCAAGCCGGTCACGCTGGTCTACGTGCAGTACGCCTGCAGCCTGGGCGAGCACTACAACTCCGTGCAGCCGCTGCGGGCGGGCGCCCCCGCCCCAGCCCCGCGCCTCCTCTAGGCGCCCGCCGCCCGGGGGGGGGGGGCGGGGGCACGGGGGTTTCAGCCTCGCGTTCTCTTGGTTCTCGTGTTTCTTAGTGTGCGCTCCCCGCAGCCTCTCTTCCGGCCCTTCTCTGCTTCCCGGGCCTCTGGGGCTTCCGCGCCCTCAGTCTGTCGCTG